TTATCAAGTGAGCGTACAGTAGCCTTCTCAAGATTCACCCCCACATGGTTAAATCCTGAAATACCAACTTCTTAAAGAATACAGGTAGTTCAACATTTTCACAAGTGAAAAAAAACTATTATTATTTCCTGAGAAACCAGCTAGATATTTCTAAATAGCCTTTCAACATGATGTTGAAAAAAAAAAAAACCCAAAACAAACAAAAAAAAACAAACCAAAAACTAACAACTTGAGAAATTTTAGGATTGGGGTATTATGATAGTTGGCAGTGGGAAAGATGAAATCTACCAATAATATAAACTCTTCTCCAAGAATTTTTCCTTGTGCAGATTATTCATTTCAGTTCATTAAACAAGGTATCTGTCACTCAACAAATTTTGGTTAGATCAGAACCCTCTGCAGCATCACAGTGCAAATATATTTTATCTAAAGGACATACATGCTTTTCAATGTATCCTTTAATATACTAAAATTCTTATTTTCTAGGCAATAGACTTAATACCAGTTTAATCTGGCTGTTTATATTGAAATGAGTCATATCAAGTTTTGACTTGTAGTCATTTGGACTATATTCAGAGGGAATCACTTTACCCACTTTAACTTTATACAGATAATTATAGCATTTGTCACTCCCCATAAGGCTTAAACAAATCTACCTTCATTAAAAATGGGCATCAATGTGGAGTTAGTGGCCTTCCTTTTAATGACCTAATCCTAGAAAAAAAAATCTGGGTTTTTCTCCTTTTTCCTTTATTTTTTGGTCACAATCAATGTATGCTTAAGGATTTCGAGAGGAAAAAAGGTAGTAGAGAGGTCATGAAGTTGGTTAATAAGGAAATTAACCTCTTAAAATCCCTGTCTATAGCACCTTGTGAAAAACATCAGCTCTTCTGGAAATAATATTTTATTCTGATTTGATAATAAAAATACAAATTATTCAGAGTATGCCGAATATGGTTGGCCAGGTTTAGCTGCTAATCAGTATTCTCTGTGTAGCTTTTTCAAAGCGTCCATGAACAGGCTTCCATCCCTAGGAATTCTGATTCAAAGGGTGAGATTGTGCCCAAGACATTTGCACTTTAACAATTTTTTACTGGTGAGTTAGTGTGCATGAAAGAATGAGACTCACACTGTTAGACCAGTGCTGTCCAGCAGGAATGTCAGTGAGCCACAAATGTGAGCCGTATGTATAATTAAAATTTTTCAAATAGCCTTATTTAGAAAGTGCAAGCCAGTGAAATTAAGTTTAATAATTCACTTTAGTCAATACATTAAAAACATTATCTTTACATATAAACAATGCTAAACATTATTTAGGAGATACATTGTACTCTTTTTTTCATACTATGTCTTCAAAATCCTAGGTGTAGTTTATACTTCCAGCACATCTCAAATTAGGCTAGCCCCATTGCAAGAGCTCAGTAGTCATAAGTTACTAGTGGTAACTATGTCAGACCATGTACCTCTAAAAAACGACCCACTTCATTTTTCAGAAATGTCTGTACCTTTAAGAAATGCCGAAATTGTCAATTACTACACAGGTAACATTGGTGAGCAGCTAACATGGAGCAGGAGTTCAGGATATCCTGACTAACCCCGCCTTGTCATTTGTCTACTGGAAACATGGGGAGAGGCAGCAAATAATAATTGGCTCAGTAATGTATCATTGCAAAACAAACCACCCAAAAACTTAGTGACCTGAAATAACAACCAAGCATTTGGGGCTGGGAAAAAAACCTGGTGGCATTTCTATTAGTCTGACCTGGGCTCACTCACACCGCTGCAGAAAACTGGAGGCTCCAGCAGGGTGGGAAGACCACAAGGGTCTCTCTCACAGGTTTGGGTCGGATGCCGGCTGGACTGCTCGCTGCACACGGCCCCTGTCCCTCTGTGGTCTCGTCCAGGCTCCCCCTACGTGGCAGGGGCATGCTTCCAGAGGGTAAAGGCCAAGGCTGCGAAGCCTCTTGATGATAGGGCCCTAAGCTGGCCAGCATCACTCTGCCAAGGCTACAAGTCTAGATTTAACAAGTGGGGAAATTCACTCCACCTCTTGATGGGATATCCCGGAAGATACCTGTCTGCATTTTCCCTAGCTTTACTGAGATAATAATTGGCATGTAACATTGTGTAAGCTTGAGGTGTACAATGTGGTTGATTTGATACATTTATAGATTGTGAATTCATTACAACCAGAGTATTAGCTACCATCTCTATCCCATCACATAGTTACCATTTCTTTTTTCTGATGAGAACATTTAAGATCTCATCTCAGCAACATTCAAGTGTATGATTCAGTATTATTATCTATAATCACCATGGATTAGCAGACATTAGGTCCTGTCTAAAACGTCCATTAAGACATTTGGTCCATGCTGGAGGTCCTTGATATCTGGTCCTGTCCAAAACCACTTGGCATGGACCAAATACCTGCTTATGGACAAATGGGACAGGACTACCTTTCAAGGACCTTTGACATGGACCAAATATCTTATGGATGTTTTCGACAGGACCAAATGTCCTGCAAGATCATCGTGCTGTACATTAGAGCAAACTTGTCAATCTTATAACTAGATGTTTGTGTCTGCGTTTTTCATTTATCTCCAAAATGCAGTCATAAATACATCCCTCAGATTTTACATAAAGCACATGTTTGAGTTCCAAAGTAAAGGCCACTCTGCTCAGCAACTTATGAATTTGCTTCCCACAATTTACTAAACGAAATATTTTTACTCTTTCCTTCTACAGCCAAAGAAAGTGAAGGATCCCCTCATTAAGAAAAACAACACTTATGCTCCGACTGCAACCAGCTACACTCCTAACTTGGCCAGGGGTGACCCCGGCTTAGCCACCATTGCTAAAAGTGCAACCATAGAACCGAAAGAAGTCAAGCCGGAAACAAAACCACCAGAACCGAAGAAAACCTTTAACAGTGTCAGCAAAATTGATCGACTGTCAAGAATAGCCTTCCCGCTCCTATTCGGAATCTTTAACTTGGTCTACTGGGCTACGTATTTAAACAGAGAGCCTCAGCTAAAAGCCCCCAGCCCACATCAGTAGGTCCTGTCACTCATAACCCGTTGTTGGGTCCTCTGCACTGGGAATTGCCTTCTGTTCTCAACATGGTAATTCCCATCTGCTTTATTGCCTCTGTCTTGAAGAATCTGAAGGTTTTCTTATTTCCATAATTCATATAAGAACAACAGACCCCTGTCTGGCAGCCCAGAGCAGACCATACAGCTGAGAGACAGGATTCTGAGAGAGGGAGCAAGAGAGCAAAATCACGGCAGAAGGAGACAGAAGGAAAGAGAGGTGAAAAGGGGGGGGAAGGAGATCCAAAGATAGGAGAAAAAGTAAAAGAAAAATCAAACTTAACTCTGTAACTCCAGGTCATTTGTAGATATATATTTCCAAATATTCTAGGAAAAAAAAGATACTGTATATGTCAAAAATATTTTTATGTGAAGGTGTTTAAAAGAATAAATTATAATGTTTAAGGAAGAAAAATTTTTAAAAAGTCTATGTCTTTATTGCATAAATGACAATGTGCTTCTTACGTATTTGTTTTTTTTAAACTGATGTATAGCTTTAACATTTTGTTTCCAAAGCTAAAAATCCCCATTCTTTCTCCTTAAAAAAGAAATGCCTAATGCATTATTTTGTTGTTAAATGCTATTTTAAAATTGATGGAAATTGCATAGGCTAAGGTGCAGTTCCTCGCCATAGAGCACATTTAATCCAGTGAAGATTAATGCCTTTAAACAGGCTACTTTGCTACCATCTGCACTTTTACCACTAGACTCGATGAGGAATCATTTTAACAGAAATATATACACAATAAAACCAAAAAAAAAATTTAAAAGATTTATTTTCCACCCTGTCTATATCCAGATAGCACATGGGTCCAATAATCACTGATTTTCATTATGAAGATGTTTTTAGAGGGGCAAAAATATTTTGCAAGCTCTAGAATTGTTGAATGTATCATTTTATATAACAGTACATTAAAAGCTTTAGATTGAAATTTATGACTAGTAAATAAATATAGAATATATAAATTATATATGTAAATATCCAGCATGAGATTGTACATTTTTTACTTTTTTTAAGGCTGTGTTCTTAAAATATTGTGTGGGACTCACCGCTCTTAGCTGTCAGAATGTTGTTAAATGCTACGGAAATACATTCAGAGCCTGCCTTTAAGACCAGAACAGCCTGAAGGAGCCAGATGGGACTTAAAACATATGGGGATAAAGTCCACTTATGTAGGGACAGCTTGCAATTTCAAACTGTTGTCCAGTGTACAGTAGTAAATCAGTTGCAATCTGCTCAAGTCATGCCATGTTTCCCTATTTTAGGCTCTTGTAATATAGAAAGAAAGTGGAAAAACATTAGTGGGAGCTAGAAAAAAATCACCTGTATATTTACTGCTATCTTTGCTGATACCAACTATTTCAATAAGTGTTGTACCATATGTAGCATTAAATATAAAAATACGTGAAAGAATGTACAGGAAATAGCTTTTATTGAGTAATACTATTACTTTTCGTTTATACTGTAGCAATATATTTGTAGGCATACTATGTAAGGGCTTTAATGACAAGAGGTCCATTAACACTCCCTCTGAAGATTCTAGTCTGTTTCATTACTTCCCAGATGTTTTAGAGGTAAATATTTATGCGGAAGGTATTTTTGAAGTCTTCTTTTGTCTGATAAGAGTTTCAGAGATATTTAAAGTTAGCATCCAGAATCCATGAGTTATGGTCTAACCACATTTAGAATACCATGACATAAGCCTGTTATCACAATTACCAAATAAGACATTTGGGATCCATACCCATGTTTTGAGCAATGTTTTTCTCAAAGAGCTGCTACCCAATGACACAGGAAAATACAGCTTGTGTTTTCCTAAACAAACTCTGGTTTTCTTTTTAAATGTGCTTTATTGTTTGATTCGGTCCTGCCTAAGTTCAATGAGCTAAGCCAGCAAAGGCTGAACCAAGGATATCTCATCCTATGGTCTCATGTGTAGATAATCATGTATAGAAAATAAAGTAAAATATGGCTCTAACTTCTGTGTTGCTGTTTATCCCGTTATTTTTCAGCGTTAACCTAATGTGCTTATTAAGAGCATTTTATCTTCCAAACTCCTCGTGGCCCACATTTGGTCTGTATTTTGCTCATTAGATGTGAATATTTCTTCTTAGTCTGCTTTCTGCTAAGCAATGACTGCATTTCTATCATTCCTTAGTTTGTTAGTATATGTGGACAGAATTCTATTGTATAAATTGATTGCACAACTTATCAAAGACAAATTACTCTATGTAGCTTTTCTACAGTGCTTTGCTAAACCATGTAACCCTAGTTAAGTCTTCCTTGAAAATAAAGATCCACTCCTATAGGGGACAGTTCCTGTTAACTCCCAGGAAAAATTTTTAAAAGATGACACTGAATGTTTATCGCACCTTAGTGCAGTGAAGTGGCAATAAAACCCAACATGAATCGAGGTTGTTCATGGCAGATGCATGTACTGCTTTACAGAGTTTAGCAGAAGCTCTTAATTTTATGTCATACTGTATTCTATTATAATAATAAAGCTAACATTATTCAATAACAAAATGGAATGCTTGACTCTCTTTTCTATCAATAGTATGATCTTAAACTATGATTTTTTTTAATTAATCACTTTCAAAGGAAGGAATTGCTAAACACCTGGTATCTGGCGTTACCAAGAGCACTTCAACTCAAAATTTGGAATACATAAATAGAGCACAGTCAAATTGCTGAAATTATGGTAGTTTGTTCATATCTATTGTTAATGTAATAAATTTGTTTTCTGATCTACTCCTCGGAGATTGGTTTAATTGTTTTGCAGAAGGAGTCTGAGCATTGTGATTTTAAAAGCTCCCCCGGGGCTATCATGTTCCTTCATGTTTCTATAACCACAAAGTTAAAGTACAAAATACTTGTCATCATTTGAAAGACAATGGTAAATTCATTTCAGTGATGGACCTAAAACTGTACTTGGTTCCTACAGGCAAGACAATGTGAGGTAAAATCTTTCTACGTCAGCTGGTGGCCAGGTGAAAACAAAGTAAATTGTATTTGTACAAATAAAACCTGCATCTTCTTAAAAATAAAAAAGATTCGGGACTTAGCAAAATTAATACTTTTAAAATCCTCCAACCAAATGACTTAGTCTGTCCGTGTAAACTAGCTGAATCATCACATTCATTGATTTCTTGGCTCTCATGACAATGAATGTAGTGGATGGTGATTATTTTGGCTATCAAACTACATCCATGTCAAGGCTCACCGTAACAATTATCTAAGAAATCAGAATAAGAATGGACTTGGCATTATGACTGACCATCTGTTTGAATTTAATTATACCTGTTCGTTAAGACCTTCTGTTAAGAGTTTTCTAACATTATCCAGCTCTTGTGACCAACAAGAACAGTCATCGCACTTGATTACATGATAGCCACAATTTAGGCAGACAGATTAACTCTGCATGTTAATTTAATTTAATTTAATTTTCCTAACATTTGCTGAGTCTCCCTCTACCTGTGTTAAAAACTGTGGTAGATAATAAGGATGTAGAGATAAATATTTCATGGCCTTTTTCTTTAAGAAATCAAAGTTCTAGTGGGGGAGGGAGACAGAATCAGGCACAAATAATAATAAAAATATTATGAGAAAAGTAGAGGACACTATGAGACACGTAACAGGGGTACCCAGCCCCTCTTCATATGATGAGATAATTGAACCTGTAGGAACTAATACTGTCTAAAATGAAGCTGGAAATATAAGGGGAACTGAAGTGGTCCTGGGATTTAATGCCAGCTGATGCGTTGCTAACCATTTAACCACTGACAACAGTTGAGATGTCTTGGAACCCTTGAGCCACCATCGTAGGCACTGAGATTACAGACATGAAAATCACAATATGCGCTTGGAAAGCTCACAATCAGAAAGAGAACCCAAGCGAACCTAAAGTTACAACACTTTAATAAAGACCTACAACTCCCAATAAATGCACAAGGCACGGGGAAGTGATACGTGGGATGTGGTGTGAGCGAGGTCTTCAGAGGAAAGCATCCGCTAAGCTAGGTTTTGAAAGATGGTTCAATATTTATCAGGCACTTTAGTGCTGGGGAGACGGCTGGTGATAAGGGACACAGCTTTCATCCAAAGATAGCAACACATTAATACTTAACTCGGAGAGTCACAAAGTCTACTGCCAGGGAACTAACACATAAATGTAAAGTGGACCAAATATGACACTGTGAACGAAAAATACTGCAAGCCGTATCAGTGCACAAAGAATGCAGAAGCCATCAAGTCATCAGCGGCTGCTGCCACCCCCCAGTGAAGACAAGACTGCAGCCCAGACTCTGCAGCCAGTCACAATGGGGCACTCTGAGGGGACTCAGAATAAGAAAGGACAGGATACTGGCCCTAGACAGCTAGGTGCTTGTCAAAGGAATGAATTCAATGAGCCCAAATGTTTGCTTCCTCCCATACACAGAAAAGCGCTAAATTCTTTAACTTGAGATGTCTGGTCTTTTCAGTTAACAAGTAATCTTTTAATGCTCCAACTACCTGGTCTTTGTTGTCAAACTCCTATATGTCCTAGCTCCTCCCCTACCTCTTCGGATCAGTCCCTCAGGGCGACCTGAGAGGCTGTCATCCCGGCTCGAGTCCTCCCACTAAATAAAGCATAACTCTCAACTTTTAGACTGCACATTTATTTCCGTTGACAACACTAAGGGAGTCACTGGGGACTGTGGAAAGCAGCACATGCCCAGTCTCCATGCCTCAGCTCCAGCTATGTGGTGTCAGGGGCGGGGAAGGGGTCGCACATTGCTACGTATTCCAATATTACCACATACACACACAAAAAACTTGAATTTCTTTGTAACTCCAATTTTGAAACTACTTTTTTTCTCACATATAATGTTTCTGCCAGTTGAATCTGGCTAATTCAAGTGATTAATGAGTTCTGATTTTCAGAATGTCTGTACAAATCCACACATCCATTTGGTCATCATTAACGGAGCAGCTATCCTATGTCTGGGGTTAAGATTATTTCACAGAGAAAAGGCAGGTTATCCTTCCCTGTATTAGTTAGCAAACAGCAAAACTCTTTCAGAATGCTGATCTACTACATTTTCAAAAGTCACATTATCTTCCAATAAAACATTTATAGTCTAAAGACATCAAAGTAGCCACAGGATTGTAAAATATTAAGATTCTTTTCATTTTGGGTTGGTAATTTACCCGTGTTTCTCTAGAACACGTAGCATATGTCACTACGTAAAAGTTGATGTCCTCATTAACAGTCCATCAAAATATACTTTATGCATCTTACCTTCTTTGATCTCACCATAGAGTTGTTATAAATGAAGAAATTCATGTAATTCTGTTGATTTGCTTAACATACTGTAAGTGATTTTGCCAGATTAAAAAAATAATTTGTACTTCATTATAAAGATGATACTTTCAAAACTCATCTTAAAAAAATTACACTAGATCTCCTTGACGGTCTATGTTTTGTTTGAAAAATTAATAAGATAAACCATTAGAAACAACGTGAAAAAATAATGGTCCTTTCAAGTGGAAAGGAAAGGTCAGCCTACATAAGCTACAGATTGGGGGTGGCCCAGTGCAAGACACTTTGGTGTCCTTTGTAGCGGAAAGAGCGTGGCTACTGGAGTTAGGTCTCACTTTAAATATTGGCTTGGCCCATTGCTCAGCTCCTTCTGAGCCTCATTTATGCACAAAATAGGAACAATAGTAATTTATGTGGACACTGCTAGAGTGGCAGAGTAAGGACTGAGCAGTTCCACTCTCCAAAAATAATGATAAAACTTGACAGGTTTTCAAAAGCAATAATTTCAAGAGTCAAGAAATCAACAACCAAGTAAGGAGTATTTATTAAAAGAACAACTACTGAAACTTTTTTAAGAATGTTTCTATGTACGTTTGAACCTGCAATTGCCTTCGTGACCACTTCAGCTCCATTTCTGCAATAATGCTACCAATGAAGGACAAGCCATGTGAACAAGTATCTTCACCACTTGGGGGGGAGGAGGTTCTTACTTATACTGGAGCAAAGCATGCAAAAGTTCTATACCCATGAATGCTATCGGAAATAATAGCAATCTTGTAGACACATGACTAGGAAGGCCAGTGCTGAAGGTAGACAGCAGTTACAATCCTTGTCATAGTGCACAGAATCCTGATAGAAGAGTCAGGGGTGGAAATTTAACAGGAAGACAAGGAAAACCAGCCATCTACAGCAGGCTGGTTTCAAAGCAGTAAAATAAGCCTGTTTAAAGGATGGGAAAAACTATGTTCAAATAATAAAAGTATTATAATAATGATATATTAAATACAGAATCTCAAGAAAGAGATAGCAATCTTTTTTCTTTTAAAGAAGTAAATCTAAAGAGAAAATCTGGACTTGGAAATAAGAATAATTGAAAAGATTAAGTTACTAGAGTAGCCCAAAAGCAGATGTGAGATTTGGTTTTATTAAATAAAGTGCATGTTGTGTCAACATTACCTACAGCCTATGTGTATCAACTCATTAGTTCTATTTTGGAAACTAAACAATACTTGTGGGTGAGGAAGGAGGGGATGACTGGGGGTTGAAACAATAAAGTATGGCTTTACTAGGGAAAGGATACACACTGTACTGTCAATGACAAGGAATTTAAAGTTTTATTAAAAGAAATCTTGGAGATTTTGTCTCATTCAGTATAAAACCAGGAACTATGATAAATTCTCCCCACAAATGAAGAATGAGTAGAAGTTCAATGAAGAAATAAAATTCAATAAGCCTGTTGAAATAGGGTCTTTTTTCCCTTTCATAATAAAACTCAAATATTTTTGAAAATTAAATTGCTTTGTCCTTTAAAGAGGAAACGCAATCTCAGACATCATAAATGAGACTGTACTCTCCCCTCCACGTTGTAGCACAGCTATTTGTAGGTTGAGCAGAAACATCTCCTGCTGTTGGTGGCTATCTTCCCTTTGCCCACTTGCTCTAGGTGAAGTGGG